TACCAGTACAATTAAGGCCAGCGTGTTCATGATTCACAATCAGATTAATGAACAATTTGTATCTGCCCAGCAAGTAGCAGAGTAGAGGATACTGTCCTTACAGGGTTTCTTTGAACACTTGAAATTACCCATGTCAGCAGAGGACTCTAAAGGTTATGGAATTGTATATGAGCTCTGTTTAAGATTGCATAATATTAGAACAAGGTTAGTTGGTATTAACCAAATTCATACTATTTATGAACAAGTATAGATGGCATTTGGAAAAGACCAGTATCAGGACTTTAAAGAATTTCTGCTTAAGGATATTCAAAAGACTGATCATATTCAGTGATTTCATAGCTTTTATGCTTAAATTAATACTTTGAAATAAGTTGAGTTTTATATGTATGATAGTATTTGTTATTCAAGATGTAAATTCAAATCAGGAATTTGACAAGAAAGGGACTCATGACTTGAAGAAAATGGACTATCTGAGCTTTCAAATTATGAACCTTGAACAGAATCCTGATTCTTAAAATTTTCCTCCTTCAAACTCTCCCGAGATATCCTATATTCTAATGATCTAAAACCGATTTGACTCATACCCCCTCCAGTTGCTAACTTTATCTCAAGCATCATCACCTTATGTTCAAGCTTTTGATTCTCCTTTCCAAATCTCTAAATTTTGTCCTCCATGCTGCATACTCTCTGGTTTTCATTGGTGAGTTGTAACTGAACCAATTGCAATGCCATAAACCTTTCAAGCTTGACACTGAAGTAATCAACCTCAAGAGCATTTAATATACCATCAAGTAGCCACTTGCATTGTGAATGTTACTGTTACAAGGCTTCCTAAGGTGTGTAAAAATGAGTAACTCTGGTCTGTATGCAACTCTCACTATCTGAGACTATAGAACTACCTTCGTTGTCTCTAAGACTCTGATGGAAACCGGTTGTTATACTTTATAGAGCTGGTTTTGCCCTGTTAAGGTTAACCTTATGTTGATTGGGAGCACTGTAAATGGTTCCTTTAATAAAATCATATCTGAACTAGCTTTCTACAGTTTGTTCAACTCAGAGTAAGAATAAAAAACAAATACTCACACTTGGAAGCTGACTATCTGCTTTACTTTTCTTTTCATTGTCTATTTCACCATCATGATAATCAATATCACTCAGGTTGAAACATTCAGTACCATTATCAATAGAAGCTATGAGGACCTTTTCCTCAATTGCTTTCTCAATAACCTGAGTATGAATAACCTCTGAATGTCTCTCCTGATCACTAGTTGGCTTCTAAATCTTAACTAATGTGACATACTAGCTCTTGAAGAACTTTGCATCACGAATCTTTTTTCTTTTACTTGTACTTCCTGTATTGTATACCATCTCTACCCGTTCCCACATATCACCTCCAATTGAAAGAATCTCTTTCAAAATAGTCAAAAGGCAGTTCTCTTCAGCTGTTGTGAACTTTTGTGCTTCTTTTGGCTTACCTCCAGTATGGCACCTTTTCTGAGTCTCCATGGGCCATGAACTTAGTAGTTTGGTATTTAGTTAAACTAAGTCTCTTATTAGATATAAACTTAAACCAAATTTTCCAATAACAAAACTGAATATACCTATTTTTTTCAATCTGTGATTTCTTTACCCGAGATTCAAGTAGGTGGTGGAGCTCAGGAAACCACAAGCAATGGTAGACCTTCCAAATATGAAGACTGACTCAAGTCAGAAACTGGTAGCCAGCTCTCCATTTGCACGGATGGAACCTAGTTAATTCATATCAGTAAGGACCGATAAATCTCTATTGAATACTCTCTTAATCACTTACTATTGAACCAGAACTCAAACCAATTTCTGCTCCCTGATATCGGGGTAAAATAGCGCTTGAATCTTGTCTCCCTTCCATCATTATGGTGTTGATGCATGAGTGAGTATATGTAAATGGGGATGACTGAATATCTGAAAAATCTAGCAT